GTGAGGTTTTCGCTGGTCGTCCACTGGTAGGCACCGCGTCGGTTGTGGTTGAGGCTCGGGCCTCGACGAAGAGGACTGGCAGCAATTCGAAGTCTTTCACGACAATGATCGCCACGAAATCGGCAGCGGCGGCAACGCAATCCGCTGATCTCACCACCGACTTGGACGACTTCGATGACGGCAGCGGCGGCACTTGAGCAAGCAAACAAACAACGTGACGGACGAATCACTTGTCCGTTGGTTTTGTCCGACTGTTCAGCCGGTCAGCAGCCCCAGCGAGGGACGGATGTACGGTACGGTACGGTGGATGAGGTCCACCTCGCCCGAGCACCCTCCGACGACGATTGAGTTTCGCGCTGCGAGGAGGAGTCGCACTTCACCGATGTCGCCGACGGTTGGTGGACACTGGCGTCGTCGCCGAGTCACGCGCTCGCAAAGGACAGCGTCAACATGAAGCAATTGTGTCACCGACCGAACCGACGACAAGTATCTCTTCACGTCTACCGACGACGACGGCGACGGCGACGACGACGACGATCAACGGAAACCGACGAAGAGTTCATTGAGCATCGTGTAAGCGTAACGTAGCACTGCCTCCGGAGCCGGAAATCGAAACGAGTCGCGGATACGTGGTCTGACCGAAAACCCGTTCCCGTTGCTCCTCTGCCGTGCCGTGCCGTTGCGCAATTAGCACCTCCATCAGTGCACAGCGATCATCCACCAGTTCACCCAACCCGCACGTTAAAACCCACTCGTCCTCGTCCTCGCCATTTCAATGCACTCTACGGTCGACCGATTTTCATATCTGCTCACAATGCAAAAACATCCAGCACTCGCCCGGTGAACGTCGACAACGACATATCCAGAAACACCACCGGATCGCATGTAAAACTTTGCCGTCGCTCGGCCTCATGTCTGTGAGAGACGTCGACACGAACTTGCCTCCAGAGCCTCGGTACGAAAATCCCCTTCCCCTACGGTCAAACGTCGAATTCAACGCGCTCCTTCATCAATTGGTTACCAACGATCTCCCTTTGACTGTTCATCGCTTTTTGACCAGCGGCAAAATTAAACCGTTTAAGTGTTGCCTGTCATGACAAGGAAGTCATTTGAGGAATGTGGGGAATTATACATGTGACTATCAGCGTTTCTTAGAAGAGAAGCCTACATCTTCTTCTTCTTCTTCTTCATCTTCCATGACCGCTTCTCCTTTCGGGTCACGGAGACGGACGCGCCAGACAGTGCTTCCAAAGTTCCCGATCCGGTGCCAGAGACTGAACTTAGGCAGAAGACAATTAGAGTCTGGAACAGATTCTTCCATATATAGAGAAGCTTACACTAGATTATATATTTCGTCCACGATGCAAAAATTCAAATTAACTGTCTCTGTGGAACCCACCGAATACATAGAAACTTCCAATTCAAACGGACCATGTACTGAATAGTCGTGAGTTGTTTCAAATCGATATGTCTTCACTGTCAGCAGGTTCGTAAATCATGTGAGTGATGTAGCACCTGAGAATGAGTTGAGAGAAGAACAAGAGTGATCTGTGCTAAGTTGGACCATTCAGCCAATGAATTTTATCCACCTGTCTGATCATTCATTCGTTTCTTCGTCTATTTATATTCGTTTATTCATTTATGAGCAAATTCAGTCGTTCATTCATACATTCGTTCGTTTACCCATTCATTTGTTTCGCTTATTAACACCTGTTCGTTCATTCACTTATACATTCATGCATTAATTGATTTACTCCTTATTCCGTTTTTCCGTAATGCCCTTGTAAGGTTTCCAATGATCCTGGTCCGCTAGCGAATGGACAAGTGATGGACTCTAAGGCACGCCGTGACAACACAGGTCTTTAGCGCAATTGATTCACTTTGTTCCCAGTTACCTCTAGACTGTCGCCCACGAGGTCATGCTAACAAACAAAGTTCGAGCAGTCGTATCTTCATCACATTTCACAACAATTCTGATTTGTCGAGTTTTCGTAGTAGCTGACAAATAAAGTGTCATCCTCTAAGCTAGGGGATTGTGATAATAAATGTTGAAATTTAGGTACCGTCATTAAACAAACATTCTCAAGTTTCGACCATCGGCTTAATGCAAAGAATGTGGTTAATTTCATCATTCTTGATGTTGCCCACCAGGCGCAGTCTAAATCGTCCGTTTTTGTACATAAATGATCGTTTTAGAGGGTGACATGGAAAATTCAACTATTGTTACTGCGTGATTCAACTCGGATGTTGTTCCACCCGTCATTCCATCAGGGTTTGATATCAGCATGTATACCTCGTAGACATAAGGACCTCGAAACGTGAGACGTGGTTAGCAGATTCTTGGATGCCATTACGCTTTAGGAGCATACACTGCATCGAACTCTGTTCTACTAAACGATTCCGTACTCAGCTTTCGGTCCACTTCCAGAGAAGAAAACACCAACCGTTTTATAGCAACACATTATAAACAGCACAGCGGAACGGATGAACAATTATTCACTGCCACTGAACTTTTGTCTGATTTAAAATCGGTATTGATTTTTCCATTCCATTCTTCAAATTAAACTCCGCCGTTGACAGTTCGTGGAAGTTCGGTTCAGATGATTTACATATGCGGCGCTGTGAATCTGCAGAAAGCCCATCAGTCGATCCTCGCAAGAAACTATACGCGTGCCTGCACACGTATAAGATTGATGGCCAGTTAGTTGTTACGAGGCATCCAGTTACCATTTATTGACAGGAGGTGCTGCGTAAGAGTGAATGCCGTCAAATCGAGAAAGTTGGCATTGGTGTCCGCTCTGTGAATGCATTCTATTCCGTATTCATTTTCTGTTGTAGTTAAAGAGGACAATTGGGAGAAGCCATGGTGATGAGGGTATCGGAGCAGGAGACGTTAAGTCGAGAAGGATGCTGTTTGCAGACGACCTTGTTTTATTGGCATCTTCCGAAACTGATCTCCAGTGCTCCTTAGAAAGGTT